CGGCGCTCCCAGTGCACTCTGGGAACTGGAGTCTTCTAGCGGCAAAGCAGGATCTTGGTCTTCTGCCCCGAAGGCTTCTGGGAAGTAGGGTTTACAGACTCTGACTCTGACCTTTGGACCCGTCAATGCCAGAGGAAGCAAAATAAATGTCAGTGTTCAGAGTAGTTTGGTTTCTTAATTAAATGCATTGAAAAACGGTTGGAAATAAGAAGTCCTGTGTTCCCTGCACAGGCCCTTGGTTTCCATCCTCTGTCCACCGCCTGGAGTGCCTTGCTTTCACACTGCAGTTTAAGCCTGAGTTGTATGACCTGGCTCTGGAAGAAAACCATCTGGAGTTCCAATCCTAGCCCTTCCACTTTCTAACTTTGCAACCTAAGGTAAGTAGCTTAACCTCTCAGAGTCTCGGTTCCTGTTTCTGTCAGGATTAAAGGAGATATATTTTACACCTAGTGGTAGTCAATACATGATAGCTAGTGTTAGTATTATTCTTCCCACTTTTTGCCAAGTGTTTAAACCCTGTCATTCGAAACCTCGTTCTTTTTCTTTCTTTTTTTTAATTTCATGAGAAAGAGGGGCACCACAAGGCTTTGCCAACTCAGATGTCAGGCATGTACCATGCACCCAGAACACACAGGGAGCCTCAGATAGAGAACTGGAGACTGTCTCATGTGGACCCAGTATGCAGAGCATTGTGTTACTGACATCCCACTAGCTGGCCCCAATTCCTATGGTAGTCATCTGCCTAATCCTCTGTAGCATTTCATCTGTAATTCTCTTATATGACACATTGCTTTGTACTTACAATCAGTTTTCCAAGTCTCCATCACCGTGAGACTATAAGCCTATTGTGGACTGAGAAGTGCTCTAGGTCAAAATCACCACATCAACGGGCAGGGAAGGTGAAGCTGATGAAGCATAAGCTTCAGTACTTAACTTGCACAAGTTCCTTCCAAAGCCCTAGAAAGAGCCCAACAATGTGTTTATGTAGCTTTGGGGGTTGTTTTATTCACCAAGGTATATTTTTGTATAATTTCCTTTGAGTGGATGCCCCCAAATTGTGTGAACTTCTGTCCCAAAAAGCCTAGAATCACTGTCCACTAGACACTCTTATGTCTTACCATTTGCCCCTCCAGGTGACCTCACCTGATCTACACTCTTTCCCAGCCTGCTGCCCAGGAGGCTGACCTCTACAAACCACTCCAGGGCCCCTGGACTCCCTGGCTTCTGTTGGGTTTGTCTAGTGGGAAACCCCTCAGAGGATTAGAGAAAAGAAAAAAGTTGGCTAAGGCACATGTTCCACATTGCTACTTGCTGGCTAAGTTACTTCCTGTTGGCTGGGTCCTTCAGCTGAAGGTCACTTCTCCCTGACCCTCCCTCCAGTTTGCAGTGACAGCCCCTGCCTTTTTGTCTCAGGTTGGAGGTGATAACACCATGGCTGCTGTGGTGCCACAAGTTACTGCTCTATCTCTTGTGGTTTGCACCTCCACACTCTTGTAAAGCATCTCCTTGCAAATAACCCCTCCTCTAATTATCCTATTTCAAATGTGTCATCTGCTTCCTGTCAAGACCCTGATAGAAACACATAAACAAGGCGAGCACTTGATGAATAGCTGTCAGCAGAGAGATCTCAAAATTCACATATCTCGTGCATGTGGAAGCCCCCAGCAAGACTGTAGTCAGAACCCATTGAGAGGAAGCCATTCTCTACACACACACACACACACACACACACACACACATGTGCTGAGATGATGTGGGCTAGTGTCAATGTAAATAACCAACTCCACAGAAATAATAATTAATGCAGTTTATTTATAAACATGAATATGAATGACCAGGCCCTAAAAAAGGCAAATGTACCTTTCCCAGGGTGCTCAGATACAGAGGTTCCTTTTATTTAGTTTTGAGAGCAAGAGACAAGGTTTGGAATTAATGAAAAGAGTTTTCCTATTGGTCTGACACAAAAGGATGGGACCTCTGAAGTAACGGCTTGTAGGTTATAGGTGAAAAGTGTACTTGAGGGCTTTTATATGCCATAAAATACTGTCCCAAGCACAGGATGTAGGAAAAGTCCTGTTATCAATAAGTCAAAATGATCTGTTAGTGTTTGTGGGCATGACTAACCCATGTAGAGATACTATGCCAGGGACAGAATGTAGGAAGAGTCCTATTATCAAATGGGTCAAAATGGTCTGTTAATGTTTGTGGGTGTGACTCACCCCAGGCCCTCTGGAAGAGATTTTTGGAAATAGGAAGAAGCACTCAGACTTTTAAAAAGTTCTCACTAGGAACTTATCTGTCACAGTGTGACCATATTCCCTAACTTATGTGGAAGAAATGTCCCTGCATCCTGGGCTGACAAATGGCCAATTTTAAAACACAATTAAATAAGCAACAGTACACAGAGTATTCCAAGGTGACAATAGGCTGTATTTATTCTGGAACTCTTGGCACTGGCACCCTGGTAAAATGACTTGCTGCTAAATGCTCCTTAAATGTGGTTATGTGCCAAGGCCATCACCACCACCCCCAAAACCACCCCCATAGGCTGAGCTGTCCTGCCAGTGCAGAGCATGGCACAACACTAGTCCCAGTGGCCGTTGTGGAAACAGCATGTCTCAAACACTGTAGGTGAAGCTACAACTCTGGGATAAAGGAGACCCTTGGCAAGTTTTTATGAGCTGATAGGTTGATTTCAAGATCAGGATCATACAAAAAATTACCTGTGCAGACTTGCTGTTGTTGGGCTTTAAAAAATAAGACCTGATTAAGGAGGAAAGGTTGAGGAATAGTATCCATATATTTTAAAATACACATATGGGGCCAGCAGGTAGTGTGGTTATTGAGGTGCTAGGTCCCACATGGCTGATTCCATATTCAAATCCTGGACCTAGTAGCTTGAAATACATGCTGGGTGCATGTGTGTGCATGCCCAAAATCTGAGAAGAGAATGGAAGAGAAGATACTGCTTCATGGTCATCCCCCCTGAGGACTGATTTCTCTCTCTCTCTCTCTAGTGAGTACACATGCCCTATGGCAAATATCTAAAAACAAACAAACAAAACCTATGAAATCCAAGTAAATACTTACTACACACTTACCATGAGCCAGGGATTTAGCTGAATTCTAGAGATTCTGGTTTAGCTAATTTTTCCAAGAGGCCATACTGTTTGTTGGGCACTGGGCTTTTGTATGTATGTGTGTGTGTGTGTGTGTGTGTGTGTGTGTGTGTGCATGTGTGTGTGCATGTGTGTGTATGACTATTGTAAATGGAATTGTTTTATTTTCTTTAATGAAATGATTCCAAGTCTCCTAAAATTCCTTCTGGACATTCTGTATACTGCCCATTTAGGCACAGTCTCAGTACATGAGGACGATTCTTGTGAAGAAATCATTTCCCATTTCTCATGGGAGTCCTGGTCAAAGGGGCATGATGGTTAAAGCAGCTGACTAAGAAGAGGGTTTGCCCAATGAAAAAAAATTTCCCAGGTGCCCCAAAAGGGCAGATCAATTAAAAAAAAAAAAATCTGTCCATGGGACCTGTACTAATTTGCCACAGAGTCAGGTTCCAGAGTGCCACTTTTCTTTCTGCAAGCTCTTCTAACTCAGGCAGCATCTGCCCAGGGGCACAGAGAAGTAAAACTGGTCCAGGGAACTTTGGGAAAAAATGGGAGATTGGTGTTGAAACTCCATCTGCAAAGTTTAAAGCAAACATGATAGTCATTAGGAAGCAGTACTGCCCTGGCAGGCTGCCCAGCAGGCACCGGCTCTACCCATGAGTCAGTTCCTGAGTCCTTGACTTTGTCGTTTTTGTCTTTAGAATGGGAACAATCATCCTGGTCCAGCCAGTCCCTGCCTCCCCAGGCTGATGGGAGGCATATGAGGTCATGTCTGAGAAGGGCTTTGATCTACCTGGAACAAGCCATGAGGGTGTCTTTACTCAGTGTACACAACCAAACAACAAGCCAAGGAAATGTGATCTTCTGGAGAAGCCACGGGGTGAGGATTTCATCTCCTCCAGGTGCCCAAAGCCCTACTTTGCCTTCCTGCAAAGACTTTTGAGCATCTACCATGTGCCAGCACGGTATCCAATGTCTTAGCACATTCACGATCTAGGGAGAGAGCCCACATGTCCACAAATTCTGTAACTGTGATTTTTTTTTTATGAGGACCCATCACATACTGGGAAAACCATCTCATATAACCCTGAGAAGAAGGTAAGATGACCCCAGTGTCCAGAAAAGAGACAAAGCCCTGAGAAGTGAACTGATCTGTGCAAGGTCACCTATGGCCAGTAAACAATAGAACTGTCTGCCTCCACTTCCAGTCTGATGGTGGCCACAGCTGCCGGCATCAGAGGGAAGAACTAACTGGAGGCACCAAGACTCCATGCAATGAGAATGCAGGACCAAGATCAAGTGGTTCCACCAGGCTTCACACACACGGTGGCCTTAGCCTGGTTTCTCTGCTCAGCTCATCCGGAGATCAGTACAATAATGAGTTCTTCCAGGTTTTATGACACAATAATTAATGGTTATAGATTACCCTGAAGCCAGAGTGGGCGAAAGAAGTTTCACTGGCCTAGGAAAATGTTTCCTCCTCCTTTTCTTCCTCTTGACGATGATGACATTGATGATGATGACCATTTCCATTTATTGAGTTTTAAGCATTGGCCAGAGACTGCTCATACGTTTTTAAAGTTTATTTGTTTCTTCAATGAGTAAGGGAAATGTGGGTGTGGAGGGAGGAGACAGGGAGGCAGCACCCCATAGTGTCCAGATGCCACAATCCACCCCAGCTTCAGCCAGCCACAGATCATTAGTATCCACAGGCCTGGCATAATAAGGGGGGCTCCATGAACTCAGGTAGGTCACTCTTGCAGAACACTGCATTATACCGCTGTGACACCATCCAGGTCCTTCCAAGCACCATTTCAAGAAGTCTTCACAATAACTCTTGGAGATTTGTATTATTAGCCACAGAGTAGCAATAAGGAAACCCAAGCTCAGAGAAGGGAAGTAATTGCTCAAGGTCTCACAGCTTGGAAATGATGCAGTTGGGCTTTAAGCCAGCTTTGACTAACTCCGAAGACCAAACACTTAGCCATAATTTCAGATGTTCATTTCATAATTCATAATTTCATATATGTGTGTCTCCTGCACTGGCTTTTGAGATGCCATGGTTACTTTGTCTTCCCCAAATCTCAAGGGAGAAATGGTGCAGAACAATGTAACATGTGGGCCTCTAAAAATGACCACATCATTTCACAGTGCACTGGTGGGACTTGGAGCAGGCTGCTGTCCACTTGCTAGGAGCAGTGGCCCACTATGGTCTATCGACACTTAGCTTCCATTTTTATCTCCTTCTGCCCCTTTCTCCTGCAGAGGCCACCAAGCATTTCCAAGATACTCCAGTACTCAGGACTCTGGATAGAAATTAAGTTCCACTAGTTAGATTTATCCAAAAAGACTTAGGTGGGAATGCAGTCATGGAGTCCAGGCTTTTTGGCAGAAGCAGTGTTCCACAGCCTACTCTCCAGTTTAGTGTCAGAGGCAGTTGTGTTAGTGGTGGTAGCAGCTTCCTGATCCCTGGATGCCAGATACAGTTGTGAGTTTATGTAGTAAAGAATTTTTTTTTTTTGGAGAGGTTTTGGACCACTGAGCTTAGGGAGCTCTCCTTATAAAAAGACCCCCCTCTTTACTGATGAGTGAGCTAGGGCATCTCTGGCTTCAGACCCCTGGGTGCTCTTGCTCAATAAACTTCTCTGCTCTTGAATTGGTGCCTCCTGAGTCTTACTCTGAACTGTGATGGAGAGTAATTTGGGGATCCCTCCCCCCACTTTGCCACTCGTGTTAGAAGTGACAGTGGTCACCTTGTGAACTGTTTCTCTTGAACCATACGGCAAGCAATTTTTTTTTTTTGGAGAGGTTTTGGACCACTGAGCTTAGGGAGCTCTCCTTATAAAAAGACCCCCCTCTTTACTGATGAGTGAGCTAGGGCATCTCTGGCTTCAGACCCCTGGGTGCTCTTGCTCAATAAACTTCTCTGCTCTTGAATTGGTGCCTCCTGAGTCTTACTCTGAACTGTGATGGAGAGTAATTTGGGGATCCCTCCCCCCACTTTGCCACTCGTGTTAGAAGTGACAGTGGTCACCTTGTGAACTGTTTCTCTTGAACCATACGGCTGGCTAAAATACTTTTTATAAGAGGTTTTTGTCTTAGGGTGTGTCTTAGGGTCTCTCTTAGAGAAAGAGAGACAGAGACAGTGAGAGGGAAAGTGAGAAATCACCCCCCTGGGGGAATGGCCATGCCACAATCCCTTCTTCTCCATTCTCCTCCCAGGATCTTGGGCACGCATGCACATGCACCCAGCATGAGATTCAAGTCACCAGGTCCAGGACTCGAACTGTAGCTGACCATGTGAGAGTCCAGCAATGTCACCACTACGCTATCTGCTGGCCCCAAGCTGGCTAAAACTCTTGCAGAGTTTTTAGTCTCAACTCTCTAGTCTCAATAATGGCCTCCTCATTCTTCCCCCTTTTGGTCACGGCAGAGCTAGTGGCCTGCTTAGCAAGGTAGGTCTGCAGTTCTCTAGCTACCATCTTTCAGTCTAGCCCATCGGCGATTTCACGAGTACAACTCCTTTGTGCTTAGAATACTAGGTGTGGTCATTACGCCCTGCACTAAACTTTGAGTAATACAGGACAAAATCTGGTCCTGATCAATGCAGTCTCTCATTTATTCACTTTAATATCTCTGAAATCTGCATACATTTGCAATCAGAGCCAACTGTAATTGGCGATGGTTTTAGTTTCTTTATTAATTGTATGTTAAATAAGGGAGCATCTTGCACTGGGTGGAACCTCAGACTTGATGGGGTTCTAGGACACCTGGCAGTTTGCGAGAACTCTCCAGATTTCACCTGCTCTCGCTCCACTTCCCACATGCCCTCTGGATCGGACGTTCCTCACCCCCAAAGGCACAGACTCTTTCTTTCCTTTCCCACTTTGCATATTTTGAAAGCAAAGCCAGTCTCCCAAACTCCTTAGAAAAAGACAGAAAATTCATTTTCAATGTTGTAAAGATATACAGTGATTGACTGTAAAACATAAGAATAAAATAAAATATAAATATTTTTAAAACCCCATAACTTCATAGAAGCCATGGGGCAGCCCTTTGGTAATGTGATAGGATATTGGTTTTCTGAATGAGGCAGACCTGAGTCTGGAACCTTCCTCTCCCACTTAATTGCTGTGTGACTTCATATAAAGTATCAGCCTTGCTGAGCCTTTCTCCCCATCTGCAAATGATAGCAGCTGTTGGAGTTTTTTGGGTTTTGTTTTTCTTTTTTATAAGTTTGCTACAGGGCACGTTCACTCACCAAAGGGAGAGACAGAGACAGAGACAGAGGGAAAGTGATAAATTACCCCCAAGCAGTGATGCCCACGCCGCAATCCCTTCTTCTCTCTGGATTTAGGGCACACATGCACACACTCCAGTAGGATTTTCAAGCTGCCAGGTCTGGGTCTTGAACCACACAGTCAACCATAAGAGATCTAGCTGCTTTAACCTCCACCCCACCTGTTGGCCCAGGATTAAGCAAGGTATTATCCGTGGAAGTCTTAGCCCTTGGTAGCACTCAGGAAAGGTTGCTTCCTCCTCCCTCTGTTCTTCCTTCTCTTACTGGCCTCTCCGTGAACATCACCAGGTGGACCTCTCGCGGCGCTCCACCTCCAGCAGCCGAGCTGCAGGCAGCTGTCATCACTTCCTGTCAGTGGCTAGACCACGACAAACACATAGACGTTCACATCCAGCTGCCAAGTTGCAAACTGGGGAAGGAGGGAAAGCTTTTTCAAAAACAAAAGCAAATTGTTGCTTTTATTTTTGCAAACATCCAACTCTTGTCATGTTTTGATTTCAGGGCTGCTCCAAGATTCTAGCACAAAAGGCTCTATATATAAGCATTATTATGAGACTCAAAGGGACTCTGAGCAAAACAAAATCCTTTTATTACAAAAGAATTGGAGAGACTTGTTGCCAAATATAGTTACTGCATGGAAAGGCATTTTTCCTTTTTTCCAAATATCACCACCTTCATCACCACAGTGCTATAGCTAAACCCATACCCTACGAATCTACCATTTTATTATTTTATTTATTTTTTTAAGGGAGTTTTTTGCTATAGGGTACATGTGCTCTCCAAAGAGACAGGGACAAAAAGTGAGAAATCACCCCCCAGGGGGAGATGGCCATGCTGCAATCCCTTCTCTTCCATTCTCCTCTTGGGACTTTGGGGGGACATACACATGTGCCTAGTGTGAGTTTTCAAATCGCCAGGTCTGGGACTGGAACTGCTGTTGGCCTTGTAGGAGTGAGCAACATAACCATTATGCCATCTCTAGTCCCTAATTTACCACTTTAAATGGTAACATAGTTTGGCAGTTACTAAGTGCCAGGCATGGTTCTAAGTACTTTATATCTAGTATCTCATTCATTCTTCCTGGCAGCTCCATTAGGTGGGTACCAGTAACAGCCAATTCTACAGTGGAGGAAATTGAGCCTTGGAGAACTTAGGCAACTTGCCCAAAGTCAGATAGCTAGACGTGAACTCAGCTATCAATGTCAATTACATCTTTATGTGAATGGGAATTTAGGATTACACAACCAGGAATGACACATGGCCCTTGGGCTTCAGAATCTATACTCTGGGAACCAGCAGTTAGTGTAATGGCTATGTCGCTGGACTCCCATGTAGTCGACCGTGGTTCACGTCCCGGACCCGGTGGCTTAGAACTTATGCCGGGTGTGTGTGTGTGCGTGCCCGAGATCCCGAGAGGAGAATGGAGGAGAAGGGATTGCGGCGTGACCATCCCCCCTGGGGGGTGTTTTCTCGCTTTCTGTCTCTATATCTCTCTCTGTCTGTCTGGTGAGCACACGTGCCCTATACCGAAAAACACCTCTCAAA